TTCCCCTCTTTTTTTTGGGGAGGGGAGTGTCCCTGGGGGTCTTCTCGTGGGGGTCCCGGGGGAATCTGTTGGGACTGGGGGTGTCTGGGGGTCCTGAGGGACATCCGTGGGTCCCAGGGGCACCTGTGGGTCCCAGGGATATATACATGGGTCCTGAGGACATCTGTGGGTCCTGTGGGATGTCCATGGGTCCTAGAATAACATCCGTGGGTCCCAGGGGCACCTGTGGGTCCCAGGGATATATACATGGGTCCTGAGGACATCTGTGGGTCCTGTGGGATGTCCATGGGTCCTAGAATAACATCCGTGGGTCCCAGAGGTCATCTGTGGGTCCTGGGGAACATCCATGGGTCCCAGAGGACATCCATGGGTCCTGGAATGACATCCATGGGTCCTGGGGAATGTCCATGGGTCTGGAGGACATCTGTGGGTCTTGGGAAATGTCCGTGGGTTCTGGAGAATGTCCATGGGTCCTGGAGGACATCCATGGGTCCCAGGGACATCCGTGGGTCCAAGGGGTGTATTGGTGGCACCTGCAGGTCCTGGGGCCATCCGTGGGTCCTGGTGGCATCTCCCAGGCTTCACGCTCGCCCCGTAACACCCCTCTCCTCTCACCGCAGTGGTCCTGCTGGACTTCGCCAAGGCGCAGGGCGAGCTGGGCTGGCTCACCCAGCCCTACGGCAAAGGGGTGAGCACCCGGGACCTGGGCGTCCGGCCCCGCTGGCCAGCACCCCCCCGAGAGCCCACACCGGGGGTGGGGACGGGGGACCTCCATGGGGACGGGGACTTCCATGGGGACCTCCATGGGAATGGGAACGGGGGACCTCCATGGGGATGGGGACCTCCATGGGGAGCTCCATGGGACCATGGGAATGGGGACGGGGACCTCCATGGGGACCGGGACCTCCATGGGAATGGGGACGGGGGACCTCCATGGGGACGGGGAGCTCCATGGAAATGGGGATGGGGGACCTCCATGGGGATGGGGACCTCCATGGGGAGCTCCATGGGAATGGGGGCACATATGGGGACCTCCATGGAGTTCGGGACCTCCATGGGGATGGGGGCAGCCATGGGGACGGGGACCTTCATGAGGACGGGGACCTTCATGGGGATGGGGGCATCCATGGGGACCTCGATGGGGATGGGGGCATCCATGGGAACACCCATGGAGATGGAGATGGGGCCATCCATGGGGTTGGGGACCTCCGTGGGGGCAGCGACACCCACGGGAAGGGAGACGGGGACCCCCACGGGGCCGAGGACAACTGCATCCACGGGCACCAGGGCCACCACCCACCCTGCCTCCCCCGCCATAGCCCCCATTTCTCTCTCTGGGGCGGGGGGACAGTGGGACCTGCTGCAGAACGTGCTGAACGACTCCTTGATCTACATCTACTCGGTGTGCCACGTGCTGGAGGGCGAGCAGGAGAACTGGCTCCGCACCAACTGGATCTACCGCGGGGTGGCCCAGCGCATCTTCATCGAGCTCCAGTTCACCGTCCGCGACTGCAACAGCTTCCCCACCGCCGGCGGCGGCTCCTGCAAGGAGACCTTCAACCTCTACTACGCCGAATCCGACGTGGATTACGGCACCAACTTCCAGAAGCGGCAATTCAAGAAGATCGACACCATCGCTCCGGATGAAATCACCGTCCAAGAGGATTTTGCTTCCCGGAACGTTAAACTCAACGTTGAGGTGCGATCGGTGGGACCCCTCCGCCGGAAAGGTTTCTACTTGGCTTTCCAGGATTTAGGAGCTTGCGTGGCGTTGCTTTCCGTCCGGATTTACTACAAGAGGTGCCCGGCTGTGTTCCGGGGGATGGCTCGTTTCCCCGAAACGGTGGCCGGCGCCGACTCGCAGACCTTGGCCGAGGTGCGGGGAACGTGCGTGGAGGAAGCGGTGGCCGAGCAAGCTCCGGCTTTGCACTGCAACGCCGACGGCGAGTGGTTGGTGCCCATCGGGGAGTGCCTGTGCCGCGCCGGCTACGAGAAAGTGGGAGAGAGTTGCCAAGGTAGAGCTTGGGACGGGGGTAAACTGGGGTCGGGAGCTGGGGGGACTGGGGGGGCTGAGGACGCACCAGCTCGGTGCATGGCAGGGGATAGAAAGGGGCGGTGGAGGAATGAGGTGTTGGCCCCCAAATCCCCCATCCGGGATCCTTCTTGAGCGTCACTAGTGCAGTGAGTGCAGCGGGGCTCAGCCGGGAGAGGGGT